AAAAAAAAAAAAAAAAAAATCATATGGGGAAAAAAAAAGTAGAACCATCTGATTCAAACAGAAACGATTCAGGCAGCTTTTCAACTATTTAGTCAAATGTTGTCAGGCACCAGTTAACTTCACATCAACCTATGGCGGCCTCATGTATAATGCCAAAATAAGATAATCCATCTAAATCACAATCACCGTGTACATAACACACATACGTCTACTGACTAGAACCAAGCCAAATCTGTAATGTATGTATCTCAGTCCTACTGCTGGTTCCTCGGCCCTTGGGAAGCTAGTATCTCCTTTTTAATCATTGAAGGTAAGAGAATCTACCACAAAAATATGCTAGAAGTAGAAGTAAATATGAGTAGATCATCAAAGTTTACTAAGAAAATCATGTGCTTTCATCATGCAATCATGACTACTTACACAAAGGAATAGCCACCTGCCTTGTGTAGGTAATATACACACTAGAGCACATCTCTGGGTTTTGCAATGCAACAAATTAAGGCCGTGAAAATTAGTGAAAGGTTATAATTCATTGAGTGTAATGTTTTATGCTTTTACTAGTTGCAATAGGTTTGTCAACGGATCAGGTTTAAATTGGATTTTGACTTACCCGAATCCAAACCCAATTTTAAAATGCCAACACAAATCTAATCCGTTCATCCGATGAATTTTATTTTCGTGGCTCATATCCAACTCCGTTAGAAATCCAAAAATACAATATAGTTTGATCCGAATAACATACTTTAACTAGGTTTTAATAAATTACACCTAAATTTCTTCAAATAATTACTTAATTTTTTAGTATAAATATATAAATATTTCAGATTGGACATATTTTTATCCAAATCCGTTAACTATAATACAGCAGATTTGAATTTGGGTACGGATTATCGGTAAAAAATATCACAATCCAAATCTGGCTAATCGGATTTGGATCAAAATCTGATCCATTGATAGGCCTAATTGTAGATATTAATTCAAATATTGAACAACTGTCAAGCTATCCATTTGTTCAAACCATAGTCCGTGTCAATTTGGGGAGTTGTGAAAGCTGTTTGAATTTATATAAGTCCTGTCATAAACTCCACAAGAGACCAAAACATGATATGTTTTGCAATATATACTTGAAGATACACATGTTAATTAAAATGACCCAACTATGGTCATAACCCATATGGTATAACAGAGCACAAAATAGAAATTACTATGAAACCAAATATATGATAATCTTACCGATTCATTACTATTTCCCGTGATCGATTTTCCACTTGTTTGCAGCACAACCCATATTCTTCCATATCAAATCCATTTTCTTTAAACAAACTTCTCAAGAACTCATTAGAAAAGTAGAAAGCACGCTGAAAAGCATAAATGTGATACGGTAAAAAGCTAGTCATAAATATAAGTGCTTTAAGAAATAAAAAAGAGAGGAGAACAACACATATTTGTATGACTAAAGCTTACCGTGCCATCACCTCGGACATAAAAGTTTTCGCTGATCTTTTGATTCTTGCATGTTAATCTTTCCTGCCAATACAACGTCACAGTATAAGACAAGCTGCATTTCAAACACACATATGTACACACATATATGTCAAATGAGATACTGATGCAATCTATAAGATGCTTAAACAAACACAAATTCAAAGATATAAAAAACAATGGAATTGGTCTGGCATCAAAACAAAGATCCATTTGAAACCTTGTATTATTATATTTGAATCTTTATTTTGAGTTAGTTTGAGTAACTTAGCTGCCATTAATATTTCATGTCACCAACAGACATTTGGTCTAATGGTACTCCTTACCTTATGAAAGTTTTGCCTTTTTGAAGTTAAGGGTTCAAGTCCCCCTCTCCTCTCCTCCCCTCCCCTCCCAAAAAAAAAAAATCATGTCTCTTTTTAATATTTTTTAGAGCCAAGGATATTTTCGTAATTTTAAGGATTGCTGGAATAGGTTATAGTAGTCAAACCATAGTCTTGGGTCAAGTTCTAGAGTTTAGAGTCCTACACCTAGTCTATGTTAGTCGGGGTTTAAAGTATCTGCTGATTCCGTTACAACTCAACCGAGTTCGGCCCTATCCGATACGATAGGGTTACCCATTATGCAAATATTACAAATCACCGACAACTTGGCCTTGAATCGGTTACGAATCGTACAACTCGACAAAAAACAAAGTTATATCGCTAGATTCGAACGATTTGTTTCAGTTACAAATCGAACCAACACATGGTGGAATCATCCAAAAAACTCAAAAAGGAAAAAGCCAAAGCAAGATGCAGAGAGAGAAGAAAAGCATGACACCCCCATCCAAATTCACCAAATTTATGCAAATATTGACCCCCAAAATCACGTCCTTTTTTGAAATTGTACAAACGGAAGATTAAATTGGATGAATCCGTAACACGAATCTGTAAAATCGAAGGCATGGCAACGAATACAATTATTGGGAGTCCCCTCTACAGTGAATACAGATCATAGTTACCAGAATCGCTAAACCGCTAACAACCCAAGATTTGGATACAATGATCACAAATAGGGCGGGTTCGCGATCCAAATTAACTAAATGTTTAACCCTATATTTTAATACTAACCCCTAATCAATTCCCTTTAGAACATGTATCAAAACTATAAAATAGATATAAATTGAGTATTTGAATGTATAATTATGCATAATTTATGATAATCAAAAATCAAGCATAAATATAAAATAAACAACAATTGACTACATGTTCATGGATACACTATTATATATAATTTCATACAATAGTGAAAGCAATCTATATATAAAGAGTTTCAAAACAAATTGTGATGAAAATATTGTACCAGCTAAGTTTACTCCCATCGCACAGTGAAACTAATAAAATGTCGTACCTTGCACTCATAGCCGCACCACGTACCAAATCGACCCGTAATCCAAGAAACATTTTTACAAATTACAAAGAGTCGCCTCTTCTTCTTCGTGAAGATGTAGTGGTTTTGCATGCCTAACATCGTCAAGTTGTCTTTTCTTATCCGAATTCATCTTGTTAACTGCATCAAAAACTCTCGTCTCTCTCTCTAAAAAGAGTCAAAAGACTATCAATGGTGGGTGGGTTTCTTTTTCCTTTTTTTATGGGTTGAAACATTGTCAAATATTTTGGGTAAATGCAATATTTTAGTTCTATATGTATTCTGATAATATACTTTACTAAAATGTACATACTAGGTATCTTTTTAAGAGTTACATATTGTCATTCTGGGAGGGAGAGAAACGATGTGGATCACAATTATTTACGTAAAGCGCATGACACTACCTCTAAAGAGGGGTGAATAGATTTTTCAATTTTAAACTCGAACAATCACAAATTAAAGCCTATTACTACCATAATTTTTTTTTGGTACATATTACTACCATAATTACCTCTTCTCAAAACGGAAATCCCAAACCTAATGACCCAAACTCTTGAATTCACAACTATGGATGATTATGGGATTCAAACAATCATTCAATCAAACACATAGTGCGCGTGTGCATCAAATCACAAGTGTATATGTAAAAATAATAAATGACACAAGTGATTTGTTAACAAGAAAACCCTCAAAAAAAATTGCGGAGAACCTTCTCGGTTCAACAAAGTCTAATTCACTATCCCAAAATCAGCTTACAAGTACTCGAATCTTATACCTCAAGAAAGTCTTATACCTCAAGCAAGTCATATACCTCAAGCAAGNAAAAAAAATTGCGGAGAACCTTCTCGGTTCAACAAAGTCTAATTCACTATCCCAAAATCAGCTTACAAGTACTTGAATCTTATACCTCAAGAAAGTCTTATACCTCAAGCAAGTCATATACCTCAAGCAAGTCTTATACCTCAACCAATACCATGGTTCCTTCAATAAGCCTCTTCGTCGAAGTGCCTCTCTAACGTTATGTTTAGCTTCGCTTGGATTCATCTCCAAGAAGATCCTCTGAGCCTCAGACGATTTTGGGCACACCAACTATCCTTGAAATGCACACACCAATGAATTTTGTTTTCAACCAATCAAGATTTTCAACACCAAATTGTTAGGTTGGGTAGAATCTCTAGATAGTGGCCTTGGGTCTCAGGGATCTAAGATTGTGATGGAAGCTCTCTAAGTAAAAGATGAGATTTATCTCACAAAAGGCTTATCGTAGAAGTAGAAAAGGCACTCTCTATTTATAGGATCGAAGTAAAGACAATCTTAATCAAGAAGAAAACTCAAATTTGTGAATGACCGCTCAATCGGTGAGAGAGCGGTTATAGGCGGTGTTCTTGAGAATGAAAAACACATTTCCAACTGACCTAGGGAGATCAAACTACTCAAGCAGCGTCAAGGTCGGTCCCTACTACTCCATTTGGCCTTTTCCCCATTTCTTTTTTTTAAGTCATAAAGAGACAGCTCAAGAGAAGGCTAGCAAGCATAGGACAGTCTCTACTAATTTTGCAAGCCTAAAACTGCAAAAAACTTGTCATCTTGAACACTAAAAGGTGTTGTTCAATAAGGGTTCGCTAATGGATCAAATTATGTTGTCAAAACCACAAAACAATTTTAGAAAATCTTTTCGTTGAAAAACACCTAGAAACTATACACGGATTAATTCAATTCTATTTTAACTCTAATCCTCCTAAATCTATTAAACCAAGGGATCATCGTAGGTCTCTAGGTCTACTTTTGTCCTAAGCTTGAAGGTGCATTCGAAGTGCAAATAATGTAACTTTGATGCTTGATCTCCTCCCCTCAATGATACTTCCAGATCTTCAATCGTTGTAACATTATGACCATGGAATAGGTCGAAATTTACAATGAACTCCACGAAATTTGTCAATTACAAACATATGTTTAACACATAAATTAAGTTTCCATTTAAATATATAACTTACCATATGAAATATGTTCAATTAGCCACAAATATATCCATATATTTAAAAAAAAAATTCATTTTTTTTTTGAATTTCTTAAAATTATATATTAAAGGTACACTAAAGTTACATTGATAACATATTTGGATTCAAAATATTTTTAAATTTTGACGCTTTTAGATCTTCAATCGTCATAGTATCATGAACATAAAATAAGTTGAGATTTATAATGGACTCCACGAATTAGCCAATTACAAACATGTCTAACCGATAGGTTTCCATTTAAATATATAACTTAGCTTATGACATAAGTTCAATTAGCCACAAATATATCCATATATTTTTTAAAAAAAATTCATATTTTTTTGAATTCTTAAAATTAAATATTAAAGTTACATCGATAACATATTTGGACTCAAAATAATTTTTAATTTTGATGGTGACAAATATTTCTGGTATCATCCCTCTAGTTCATTTTAGTATGTTTAATGAGCTAGATGATTATCAGCCAATACCGATCCATGACGCCGCAACCAATGTGTTTCAATGCCCTCCGAGTCAAAAGCCGACATTGCAACCTTGGACCCAGATATTAGTTTCCTAGTCAATAATGAGTTCAGAGTATTTGGAGTCCTTAAGCCTTTGAAATCCTAATCTTGGAAGTTCTTTGAGGTCTATATAGATATGAAATGCTTTAATTTAATAGACGGAGAGATATTTTAGAAATTTTTTCAGCAATTATATGCTTTGATGATTGTGTGATACAATCTTAACCCTAGGAGTGATGCCGAAAGAATCCTAGGAGTGATGCCTAGGTCTCTTCTTTTCTTCTTCTTTCTTCTATTTTTCTGCAATTATTCAACTTCTAAACGCCTAATTAGATCTAAGATTTTATTCTTTACATCCTTAAAACTTAAAGGTGGTCTATAAAATCCCCCTTTACCAACCAATTCATTGAACTATGACCCATAAAGTAGCATATCCTACTCCAAAAATACTGTTCACGGGTACTGTCCACCGCCTTTAACAGTGCTGAATTTTCGGTCTAACTGTTGTCCTACATCAAATACTAAAACAAAACTTAAAAACAAGGTCAAAGGGGTTAAACTGCATCCATCCTTTTCTAGGGTAACAAACTAAAATTCCTGTTATGAATTAGTATGGTTGTACAGTTGTACTGCTATATGCAAGACATCAAATCTGCTGAATCATTAAGGGAGCAAACAAATTTGATCTTCTGCATGATGATTCAAATATAATTCAAATACAAGAACATGAACACATTGAAATGCTATCTAGATGTTAAGTGTGGCAACTGATTTTTTTTCCTTTAAGAAATGAGAAGGAAATATTTTTTCAACAAGAAACCAAAGGCTTTATTAATGATTAAGAAATAAGTTACATCAAAAAGGTCAGATAAGAAATTCAACCAATAAGGAAAAAAAAATGACAAGAGAAATAAAGTTACATAACAAGCCTATAAGTCACAAATCCCTCTCCATCCCGCTACGATTTCAAAAAGTAGGATTACTTTAAAATCCTTAGAAATTGAAGCCCAAAATGAGACTAAGAAATGAATATGATCCCATAAACATCCAAAGACTCGTATTGATCGTCAAAGATTCTTACATTTCTTTCTTTCTAAATAATCCAAAAAGTAGCACAATTCCAACGAGTCACACCATTATCGAACCTCCCAAAGCTTTTCATATCTTCAATAAAGAAAGATATAGATGATAAACGNAGTCTTATACCTCAACCAATACCATGGTTCCTTCAATAAGCCTCTTCGTCGAAGTGCCTCTCTAACGTTATGTTTAGCTTCGCTTGGATTCATCTCCAAGAAGATCCTCTGAGCCTCAGACGATTTTGGGCACACCAACTATCCTTGAAATGCACACACCAATGAATTTTGTTTTCAACCAATCAAGATTTTCAACACCAAATTGTTAGGTTGGGTAGAATCTCTAGATAGTGGCCTTGGGTCTCAGGGATCTAAGATTGTGATGGAAGCTCTCTAAGTAAAAGATGAGATTTATCTCACAAAAGGCTTATCGTAGAAGTAGAAAAGGCACTCTCTATTTATAGGATCGAAGTAAAGACAATCTTAATCAAGAAGAAAACTCAAATTTGTGAATGACCGCTCAATCGGTGAGAGAGCGGTTATAGGCGGTGTTCTTGAGAATGAAAAACACATTTCCAACTGACCTAGGGAGATCAAACTACTCAAGCAGCGTCAAGGTCGGTCCCTACTACTCCATTTGGCCTTTTCCCCATTTCTTTTTTTTAAGTCATAAAGAGACAGCTCAAGAGAAGGCTAGCAAGCATAGGACAGTCTCTACTAATTTTGCAAGCCTAAAACTGCAAAAAACTTGTCATCTTGAACACTAAAAGGTGTTGTTCAATAAGGGTTCGCTAATGGATCAAATTATGTTGTCAAAACCACAAAACAATTTTAGAAAATCTTTTCGTTGAAAAACACCTAGAAACTATACACGGATTAATTCAATTCTATTTTAACTCTAATCCTCCTAAATCTATTAAACCAAGGGATCATCGTAGGTCTCTAGGTCTACTTTTGTCCTAAGCTTGAAGGTGCATTCGAAGTGCAAATAATGTAACTTTGATGCTTGATCTCCTCCCCTCAATGATACTTCCAGATCTTCAATCGTTGTAACATTATGACCATGGAATAGGTCGAAATTTACAATGAACTCCACGAAATTTGTCAATTACAAACATATGTTTAACACATAAATTAAGTTTCCATTTAAATATATAACTTACCATATGAAATATGTTCAATTAGCCACAAATATATCCATATATTTAAAAAAAAAATTCATTTTTTTTTTGAATTTCTTAAAATTATATATTAAAGGTACACTAAAGTTACATTGATAACATATTTGGATTCAAAATATTTTTAAATTTTGACGCTTTTAGATCTTCAATCGTCATAGTATCATGAACATAAAATAAGTTGAGATTTATAATGGACTCCACGAATTAGCCAATTACAAACATGTCTAACCGATAGGTTTCCATTTAAATATATAACTTAGCTTATGACATAAGTTCAATTAGCCACAAATATATCCATATATTTTTTAAAAAAAATTCATATTTTTTTGAATTCTTAAAATTAAATATTAAAGTTACATCGATAACATATTTGGACTCAAAATAATTTTTAATTTTGATGGTGACAAATATTTCTGGTATCATCCCTCTAGTTCATTTTAGTATGTTTAATGAGCTAGATGATTATCAGCCAATACCGATCCATGACGCCGCAACCAATGTGTTTCAATGCCCTCCGAGTCAAAAGCCGACATTGCAACCTTGGACCCAGATATTAGTTTCCTAGTCAATAATGAGTTCAGAGTATTTGGAGTCCTTAAGCCTTTGAAATCCTAATCTTGGAAGTTCTTTGAGGTCTATATAGATATGAAATGCTTTAATTTAATAGACGGAGAGATATTTTAGAAATTTTTTCAGCAATTATATGCTTTGATGATTGTGTGATACAATCTTAACCCTAGGAGTGATGCCGAAAGAATCCTAGGAGTGATGCCTAGGTCTCTTCTTTTCTTCTTCTTTCTTCTATTTTTCTGCAATTATTCAACTTCTAAACGCCTAATTAGATCTAAGATTTTATTCTTTACATCCTTAAAACTTAAAGGTGGTCTATAAAATCCCCCTTTACCAACCAATTCATTGAACTATGACCCATAAAGTAGCATATCCTACTCCAAAAATACTGTTCACGGGTACTGTCCACCGCCTTTAACAGTGCTGAATTTTCGGTCTAACTGTTGTCCTACATCAAATACTAAAACAAAACTTAAAAACAAGGTCAAAGGGGTTAAACTGCATCCATCCTTTTCTAGGGTAACAAACTAAAATTCCTGTTATGAATTAGTATGGTTGTACAGTTGTACTGCTATATGCAAGACATCAAATCTGCTGAATCATTAAGGGAGCAAACAAATTTGATCTTCTGCATGATGATTCAAATATAATTCAAATACAAGAACATGAACACATTGAAATGCTATCTAGATGTTAAGTGTGGCAACTGATTTTTTTTCCTTTAAGAAATGAGAAGGAAATATTTTTTCAACAAGAAACCAAAGGCTTTATTAATGATTAAGAAATAAGTTACATCAAAAAGGTCAGATAAGAAATTCAACCAATAAGGAAAAAAAAATGACAAGAGAAATAAAGTTACATAACAAGCCTATAAGTCACAAATCCCTCTCCATCCCGCTACGATTTCAAAAAGTAGGATTACTTTAAAATCCTTAGAAATTGAAGCCCAAAATGAGACTAAGAAATGAATATGATCCCATAAACATCCAAAGACTCGTATTGATCGTCAAAGATTCTTACATTTCTTTCTTTCTAAATAATCCAAAAAGTAGCACAATTCCAACGAGTCACACCATTATCGAACCTCCCAAAGCTTTTCATATCTTCAATAAAGAAAGATATAGATGATAAACGAAGCACCCAGCTCAAGTTTAAAGGAAATATGACAGCAGAATCATAGCAGCATTACAATATAATGTGCTGCTTGGGGTTTCTAAGCTTAGGTCATAACAATCAGAATTNGGAAGCACCCAGCTCAAGTTTAAAGGAAATATGACAGCAGAATCATAGCAGTATTACAATATAATGTGCTGCTTGGGGTTTCTAAGCTTAGGTCATAACAATCAGAATTAATGGTATTGGATAAGCAAGACCCATGTCATGATCAATTCCTTGCTTTCATGTTAGATTATTGAACTCACATGGTACACTTCGACCTAAAATTGTAACTTTGTAAAATCAACCTTACACAAGATTATAAATCAGTGGCCATAATAAATGGCCCCAGGATGTGCAGGATAGATACAAATGGAGTTTGACCACATTTGTACCTTCATCTACATATCATTAAAGCATATACATATATCGTTATCCTGGCAAAAAAGATTGCAGGAGAACATTCCCAACAAAATTTATTTTACGGGTTTATATGATTACCAAAAAATAAAAAAAAATAAAAAAGCATGCCAAATGTACAAGGCACCTGTTCAGGGAAAAAAATCAATTAGTTTGAATGAGGATATCACTGGAATAAGCAGTTAAACAACACAATAAATAATGAGAAATGAAGCACTTTTATGCAATTAAATAACAAATTGTATTTGCTTATGAGTGGGGATTTCAGATACATCCATAAAAAGTATAAGGTAAAGGTGCAGCTAGCATAACTGGTAAAATCTGTAGATAGTTGTACCAAAACCATGGGATTGAATCCTCTTCCATTTTATTTTTGCTTTCAGTTTAGGTTTTGGGGATCAGGTTGTCCAGATAAGGGGAGGCCAACCTTCAGTTGAGTAGTTTTATAATTGGACCCAAAAAAGTCAAAAAAATTTAAGGTTCAAGAAACAATGCAATGGTTCCACTTCCACATATGAAATCATTTATTTGATTAAACTGTACCAGACAACCACATCAAAAAATGTACACTCAATCTGAGAGTATGATCTTTTTATTTGATCAACCTGAACCAGACATCTAGAAATAAAAACCTCCGTTCAATCTGTGTCAAAGTTTCCACATTCAAGAAGGCATAATGGCACAAAATGTCACCCACACAAATAGACAGGTAGGTGATGGGAAATCATAAATATATGTAATTTTACACGACAAATACGAAAATAAGACAAGTGGCAATAGGGCAGAAGTAAACCTGAGCAAGGTCACCAACCGCATAGTCACGAAACAACACATGACCAGTTGGCTGAAAAGACAGAAAAAGGTGTGAAGGCACACTTTAGAAGTAAAATAGTAAATGGAAGCCAAAGTTTTAAATTGCTTCGTGTTGGTATAGTCATTTATTACCTTAAGAACCTTTCTGATATTTTGCATCACTAGAGGCATCTTCTCAGGTGACACTGCAGATAAGACAAATATCTATTTAACAAGTCAGCAACTTAACCAAATAATCAACATGCTGGGGGAAAAAAGGCAGGAAAGCAGTTAGCCCTCCATAAACTTCAACAAAATTGGTCCAAGAAAAAATTTTTCACTACCATGGTAACAATGTCAATTGAAGAGGAAGGAATCTGCTTGTTTAGGTCATCAGCTGTCAGATCGCAAACAAATGCATTCACCTGAGTGTCAGTGAAGTCTTTATGCATCTGCAATTAGTAAAATGAAGTCACTCACTCAAGCAGCACTTGTAAACGTGGTGTGGTAATAAAAACCATTAAATCTTCACAAAATGCACTATCATGCATTAAAAATGTTGAGTGAGTCTAACCTTGCACATAACCCTCATTATCGTGCCTAAGAAAGTGAAGAATGAGTAGGTTAATGGAAATACTTCACTAACAAGTACATCCCGCTACCCCAAGAAAGCAGTGACCGGTGAGGGATACAGAAGTCCAAGGGCATTGTTTGAATTAACAGATTATATCACCATTGCCCAGCTGATTCCATTCTCAAAACTTACAGAAAGATTCTGGGATTGTCTCACGTCAAGAACCTCTATCTATTAGAGAAAAACTATGATGATTGTGTCGTGACTTTAACAATCAAGCGTTGGAAGCCTTTAGCAGAAGCAGACAAGCAATGATGGCACATCAAGACATATAATACTTGAAATAGAATATTCCATGTAATATCATATTAGGAGTACAACTAAAAGTAAAAGAATTTCACAAATACATTCCTAAATCACTATTGTTGCCAAGGTCAGCAACAGAAAAGAAGAAATCAAACCTTAACCAAGTTCACGGCACGAGGTGAGAAATCACATGCATGGATAAATATATCGGGGAATGTAGCAACCAATGGGAAGACAGTGTTTCCAGCCCCACAGCCAACCTATTAAGCAATGAATAGATCAATCAATGCAAGTTAACAACAGAAGCTGTTTAACTACCATGCATGAATAATATTAATGCAGTATATGATTATTAATAATTGCGACAAAAGTTGGCCATGATAAATACTTGTTTAGAATGTCCACAACAATAGAGGGAAAGCGTAACTGGACAAACATTTTAGGTTTTGCAAAACTAAAACCAAACTCAACAGTAAGCAAAAGAGCAAAGTGTGAGTAGATTTCTGTGCCGAAGCAGAATTTACAAGTTTTCAAGTAATCCATATGGCTTCTTGTTAGGTCTAGGATCGTTCTCTAATAATGCCATGACTTGTATTATAGCTCTAGTTTGTAATTAATTACAAAGACATCATTGGAAAGAGACATGTCTCGACAGCATTGGAGGATCCAAGATCTTTTAAGTAAAAGAAGATAAATCAAGTCAGGACCAGTCAAGACAAGAAGGACTTCGCAACCTGTAAGACACCGTGCTCAATGGAAGTACTGTCCGAGTCCACTAGGTCACATTTACAGTGTAAGCACATTGTCCTTTGGTGGGTGTATGTAAGATCCCGTGTTTCATTTATCTATAAATTATATACGTTACTAATATTTCTAAAATGATGATAGGAATTTTGAATCATTGTTAAAAGAATAGTTGCGAAGTTAGAGTTTCATGAGTATTGACTTTTTGGTAAATTTCTAAAAGTTTTAGGTCAAAATAACATTACCATTGAATCTGAAAGGTCACAAAACCTTAGGATAGACATTCAACTTGTATAAATCGGTTTCAGTTTTGAGATAACTAAATTGTTTTTAGGTTAAAATAATATTAAAAATAGATCCGGAACATCGAAAAACCTTATTGTAGACCTTAGGGGTCAATTAGAGTTGTTTAGGAGCAAAACTGTAATTTCAGATAAAGAATGCATTTTTTGGCATAATGAATAGTACATGACAGGATTTTCTGGGTATAAAACCCCATTTTCAGCCCATTTCTTTCATTTTTCTCACCCAATACCACTCTTAGAACGCTAGAACTAGAGAGAGAAAAAAGAGGGAAGAATGTCTCTACAACTTGAGCTTTGTTTGGAAAATTTAAGAACTTGACTTGGAATTCTTGATTCCTAGGTAAGTTTTTCCTCTCTCTTGCATTTACATTATGCATCTCATCTATTTTCTTTAACTAAAGCTTAATATGTGTTGAATGGTTAAATACATGTTACAAATCTTGATTTAATGTTGGGTATATCATGAATTTATAAACCTGCATGCATAAAGATGGTTTTGGTGTTGTGATTTGAAACCCTAGCTTGATTTTGGTTGAGTATTCGATTAAACCTTTGATTGTCTTGGAGTATGTTATGATTTTGTAAATAATGTATATGACTTATTCTACTAAAAATGGTTGTGTTGCTTAAAAATGCAAATTTGGAGATTATGTGTCTACTACATGTTTGATAAAATATCAAGGTTTTGGCATGATTTTCAAGAGCCAAAAAGGTTTATGGATACAACAACTGATAATTTTTTAAAAATGTATGGCCGATGGTGACAAGTAGTAGGTTAGTAGACGTTTCGAGCTCATTTAGGAAATTTCAAAGGCGGCTACTAGTCCTAGGAGAGATTGATGATGGTAGCAGTTTTCAGTGATAGTATGTTTGGCATCACAAATTGTACCCTACACATCTCCCAGAAAAATAAGAAGGGTGATAAGACCTTGGTGTGCTTGACCCAAAACATTCCTCAGAGATGGTTCATGCACGAACTGGTGTTTGATTATATTGTCCGTGTGCAGGACATGCATGGTATTTGATATGATAGTTTGATTTTAAATGTATTTTGTTTAATAAAAAAAAATTATTATAAAATGGAAGAAAGAGAACAAATTATAATGTTGAGGACAAGATATCCTCAAAAAAATAAAAGTATGATACATATCAAAAGAACAATCACAATAAAGGATAAAATAGAGTCGCCTTCCAATTTCGTTGGAGATAGGACAAATGCAAACTTCCAAAGCTCCCAGAAGCTTTGGACCAAAATAAAGCCTTTTAAACATTTTAAATACTAACTTTAAAGGAAGATGACTGTTATTTAAGATTTTTCATTTCTCTCCCTCCAAATACACCAAAGAATTGTCATGAACGTACAATTTCATAATACCTTCGCTTCTTTTTTATTCCCAAAACTTAATTTACAACATCTTTTCCACTATAAGGTACAAACTCGTGCCTCACCAGTCACCCTAAACAAAGTCTTCCACAAACTTCATGCAAATGAACACAATGAAAAGATGAGCATTAGACTCTCCACTGCTGAAACAAGTAAGACACATAATAGGACTCAAAGCTTTATGGGGCCTCCGCACCTACAACAAATCATTAGTGTTTACCTGATTAAGGACAAAAGACCAAACAAAAATCTTTATTTTCAACGGAACTTTGGCTTTCCAAAGAGATTTGGTTAAGGAGAATGAATCTATGTTCCAAGGGCTAACAAGATATGAATAAAATGATCCACAAGAAAAAAAAATACTCAACTTATCCACTATTCAAATTCTTCGATCGTAAGAAAAACAACAATGAAAATTATGAAAAAGGTGAAGCAAAGAAGTCAAATCAACTGCTTCCCAATCATTTAGATGTTTGAAAAAATGAAAGTCTTAAGAGTGATACTTTGTCCCCACAAGAAAAGAAGATATAGGAACCTTATGTAGCCAGGACAAACGATAAAGGTGTGGAAAAATATTAATAAAAAATGAATCCCTAACCCATATATCCCCCCCCCCCAAAATAGAACTTTAGAACCATCTCCAACTTTATACCGAGTAAAAGGAAGAAAACAAGGTTAAACCAGTGAAATGAATTTTCAATAACTCATAAGGGTAACATTATGTACTGATTTAGTATCTCACTCATTCCTCTGAAGGTCATACTTACTCACATAGTTATCAAAATTGTACGATTCGCAATTCGATTTGTACGATTTGATTCGATATAAGTACAAAACAATTCGTATCTTATATGAGAATCATTTTAAAGTTGAATCACACCTAAATCGTACGATTCGATTCGTATTACACAAATCACACAATTCAATCATTTTTTTTTTAAATTCAAATTTTTGGCAAAACGACATTGTTTTATCCACTAAATAGTAAAATGACGTCATTTTATTTGCAGAGGACCCCAGGCCCTAAAAAAAACTCAACCTCGTCGTCTAAAGCTCACCTTGCGTTGTCTAAATTAAAAGTCACAGCTAAAGCTCTCGCATCATCAATTGATTTCTGCTCTCAATTCTTTCGTGGATAGTTTATTAGGTTCTAATTTTCTAAACATAGACAAATAGAATAAAGGGATACTAAACAAATAAGCTTTTATCAAAGTAATCCTTCCTCCAAGAGAAAAATATTTCCTCTTTCAGCCATCCAATCTTTTACTCATTCTTTCAACTACCTTATCCCAAAAGACATTGATCTCGGGTTCCCCCCCCCCCCAAAAAAAAAATGGTAATCCTATATAAAGCAAAGACCATTCATAAACAACACAACCTGCCGCTTACAGCAAAATCTTTGGCAACCTCCTCATCCAAATTCATTCCTACAACTTCGTTTTTAGACATATTCACTTTCAAACATGATATTTTTTCAAATATTTCAATCACAGATAGGACATTCTCTGTATCTAACAAAAAAAAAGATATTGTCATCAACGAACTGCAAATGTGACGTAAGTACATTCCTCACTAGCCACTCTCACCCCCTCTACAATCCTACCTCCTCTGCTCTACTAATCATTCTACTCAATAGATCAAGCACCAAAGTGAAAATAAAAGGAGATAGAGGATCCCCTGGGCTCACCGGTCACCAACACTAAGAAAGTAAAGAGGAGAAACAACCCCTTATCCACATTTTCCATCTCTCCCCAAAGCCTTTCTTTCCCAACACATCATCTATAAAATTTCAATTTACCCATCATAAACCTTCTCTAAATCCAGTTTAAACACAACTCCCATTTTACTTCTTATAACATCCTCCACCACTTCATTTGACACTAAAGCTACATTTAGAATTTGTCTTTCTTGAATAAAGCACTTTGATCCATGATTATTATGCCTCCCAAAACGTCACTAATGTGTTGTTTAATAAAACTGAAAATGAAGTACTAATAACTGAATATTGAATTTTAAGTATTGAATACTAAATTTTTTAATACGAAACTGTTTGGTACATATTGAAATTCAAGCACTGAATTGATTCTTACTGTTTGAACAGCCCAAGGAAATAAAGTTTGAAAACTATTGCTTTTCTAA